AAAAAAAAAAAAGGTATGGGTGGAGGTCTCTGTCGTATTTGGCACCCGAATGAGAATGCCACCAGAGAGGGAGGTGGCATCTGTGCATGACAGCAAGAAGAGAGATTGAGCCTTGTGCCGGGTGCTTATCTCTACCCAGGGGCTATAGCCAAGGCCCCCTGCTGTGGGTACCAGAGGAGTAGATCTTATGAACACATTCGAAAAGAGGTTGGACCTGGCCACCTCTAGGACCCTCTAGATCAGCGGTTCTCAACCTGTGGGTTGAGACCCCTTTGGGGGTCGAACAACCCTTTCACGGGGGTTACCCGATTCGTCACAGTAGCAAAATGACAGTTATATGAAGTAGCAATGAGAATAATCTTATGGTTGAGGGTCACCACCACATGAGGAACTGTATGACAGGGTCACGCCATGAGGAAGGTTGAGAACCACTGCTCTAGACTCTCACTGACTCTGATGTTGTACCTGCTGAGGACACCCACAGCTTCAACTGCCAAAGAACTTCTGCCCCAAATAAAAGGAAGGTCTACACCTGTGTGAGTTCCCATGGCTCAACGATGTGCATGTGAAAGAGGATGTCAGGACTTTAATTTAAACAAATGGCCCCTTAGGAGACCCATTTGGTTTAATTAGAAGCTGCCCTCCTGCTGCTGTTGAACGGGAGCCCAGTTATTCTAAAACCTAAGCAGGCCAAAAACTAGGGGAGAGGCCAAGAAAATATCCGGACCTTGGAGTGACTGTCAAGAGACTCCTAGAAAGGGGGTGCATCGCATAACCACCCAGCAGCTCCCCTGGTTTCCAAGAGCTCTAAGAACTCGGAGAGGCTCCGTGCTCCCAGGGAAAACAAGGGTCAGAGAGGCCAAGCTTCAACTCGATCCTCTACGATTTAGCGTTGCTAGGATATCAACTGCTAAATTCTTGCCAAGATAACGACCAATTGTTTTCATGATCAAAAATGCTCTTCCTCCCATTTATTTCATAGGAAAGGTTGCAGATGTAAATCGACTGCAGACGACGACGGGACAGGTTTTGAAACTCCATTGTCTTAATCCCCATCCTCAGTCTAACCCACTGAGATCTCCAATGCTCAGGAGCCAGATATTTCTCACCGCAGGCCACCTTGGCGTTGGGGTCTTGCTTGAGATGGGCATCCAGCACAGCATCACTGATCTGGTCACAAATCTTGTCTGGACAAGAGAGAAAATGTGGAGAATCACTGAAATACTAGATGTCATATACCAAGAATGTAAAATGCCTAGTTTATGTTATCAGTTCATGCATCAAATCTACCTACCTAAGAAGATACCTTTTTTAAGTTAAAAAACAAACCAAAACTATAAACACTGCGTAACTTTTTTGTTTGTTTATATATTTTATTTATTATGCCTAATTTTGGGTGACATATATTATCCATGTTTAAAGTCATGGAATTCCTCAAAAGATAAATACACTCCCAAATCAGTCCTTCTAAAGGTCCAAAATTAATTGGTGTGTGCGCGCACGCACAAATGCCTCTAGTAACCAAATTGTCTCTCACTTCTGCACATATTCCTTTTCATGTGACCCCCTGGAAAGATCCTAGAAATAGAAGTTAAAATTGTTGACAGCATCAGGTGCCAGGTGGTAGAATCTCACTGGACAAACAGTTGCCCCACACCGCAAGTTCCACAAGACGCTGTGCATTGTTTATAAACCACCACAGCCAACCCCCTGGCTCCATCCAAGAGAATTCTACAGGAGAATTCCTATACACCCGCCCTGTTCTGCAGGATATTTCCTTATATGCCTCTCAGATCCTCCCCGATGGTCACCTGGCCTCCTGATGCCAGATGTCCTGGTGGCTGGTTTGGACCACATTAGTCAAGGTGGGACTTGAACGAATGCAGCATGAACTGGGTTTGATCTTCCTTCAGTCTCTGTCTAAAAGACTCTGGGTGGTCTAGCCTGCTCACTTAGTGGCACTGTGGAAAAATCCCCTCTTGCTGGGGGAGGTGTGAACTGTCAAAAGTCACAAATTCATCATTAAAAGTGGCCTCTAGGGAACCTCTCAGGACCAGGGGTGACAGTGGCGATACCAGGAGGGAAAGGGGATGTAGTAGGGGGGAATGGATCACAGGGAGCTACGTGTGGCCTCCTCTCTGGGGGACGGGCAGTGGAGGGGTGGGTGAAGGGAGACGCCGGACAGTGTA